ACGCCCTCCGTCTCAGTTCAGGGAATGTTGAAGGGCCCTGATTTATATCCAATTTCATTCATCGACAAAGACTTGCACAGTCAAGAACTTACCAGTTCTCCGTCCACGGTGTTGTATGGTTGGTTAAACCTCTCCCGTAGTTCTCCATCCGACTCTATTCATGACTACCTCCACTCTACAGATGGACGCCTGCTCGAGTTGTCGCTGCTCAGGCGGCAGTATGGGTTGCTCAGGTAGGGGCTGTGGAGTTTCCTGTTCCAACCCCGTGTACATCGAGGGACGGTGCTGCCCTGTTTGCCCCGAGAACAGCTGTGAGCACGCTGACGGCTTCATCCTGGTGGGCGAAAATTACAAGGTACGACTGACATCTGTCGATCCGCGAGAGCCGAGTCTAAACTGATCTAAACTGTTGAATATGATGCCTGTTATTCCACTACTGTGTGCAGTTTTGCCACCTTTTTTTCGAAACAATCTATGTTTGTGCGCTGATAACTGTACTTCACTCACAGGTGGATAACTGCATGACGTGCACCTGCCCGGCCGCGGGAGCAGAGCCCGCGTGCTTCACCCCGGGCTGCTATCTTCCGCCCGAATGCGACTCACCGGCACAGATCGCAGGACAGTGCTGCCCTGTCTGTGAAGGTAACTTTGATCCGCAACGTCATACATTATCAAACCTAGACCGTGGCTAGTTTGTTGTCACTTATTTACGATGAGGTATACCTCAAAAAAAGTTTCGCTGGATTTCTAAGGCTTTTGCGGTAGACAGTTGACAAGTGAACTCTGGCGGGCCCCTGTGGAACTGCAGTCGATTATTGTAAATAATTATCTGTGGCTATCGAGATAAATCAAAATCACGTAGCAACTGTGACAATTTTTGGTACTTGGATCCTAGATTATGGATCTCTAGCGGCTTTGTCTAGCATTACAGCCCTTTATTTGATCATTTGCTTAACGTTGGCATGCATCTTTTATTTCAACAGGAAACTCAGTCTCAAAGATATTTGACGTATGGTCTGCAGTATGACGGGTTGAGTATTAGACCTTGATATAAAACAATGTTGATTTTTTTGACTGGCGTTATTTCAGCTCCGGTGGGTTGTCCTTACAACGGTATGGTCATTCCCCTGAACAACAGTTTCAAGGTGAGAGATATTACTTACACCTCTCTGTCAAAACCTGTCGCAAGGGCTTTGAAATCATCAGACACAATTTATCAATATTCTATGCACGTTAAATACTATATACTGTATCTAAATATGTCATTATGTGCTGTCAGACCGACCTGTACTGAGCACATTAAGATCTAGGAAGGTATTATGGACATTCCCTTCATAACTTCCTTCTTCCTACAGCCGGACGCATGCACGAAATGCACCTGCTATGAAGCCGATGAGCCGCCTGTATGCCTGCCGGTTTTCTGTCCATCCCTAGCCTGCCCCAACAAGATAAACATCGCCGGGGAGTGCTGCCCTATCTGCCCTAACATGTAGAAAAAGGTACGAGATTTTGGATCTCACTTTTCTGAACACATAGAGCTACTTCTACGTATACATCTGCATTGTGAAACATTGTTCATCTTAGCACCTAATAAGAGAACTGAAGTAACCACAGGACAGCGTCCATTCCCTCTCATAACAACAGCACAACTTAGCTAACACCAAACATGGATACATCCTACATGTATAGACTTTTAGAAGGTTACAGATAAATTTGAAAATGTGTCTGCAACCCTCTCACTATCGGATCATCAAGATGTCTGTCATTGTTTTGATTTGGTTTCAATTTTGTTGTCTTCAAATAGGTAAACCGCCCTGAGTGGAGACAACTTGCTGCCCTATGTACGTGCCACAATGCACGGGAGGACCTAAGTCCATATATTAAACTTAGTACAGGTAAAAGGTAAATCAGCGATTGCTGGAAGCAAGGCAGCCTTACGGGAATGAGAGGAGCGGATCGTCTTCCGGTGTGTTCCCAAATAAAGTTTGGTCTCCATGAACAGTTGCTCACCTTGTCATTTCTGTTTTACGATGTATTTTTTGTCACTACAAACCGTACTTCAGTAGCCTCCTTGGAAGACTTCTTGGGGCGACGGCGTTATTTTTTTTTCTTGGGGAGGGGACGCTCATGCGCAATTTTCCTCTAATGCGACAGAGGGAGTTGTTCCACTAGCGCGGACGATATAGCTCTGAATCTCTCCGCGGATACAGCCCTCCCCCCCAAAAAACACCGCTCTTACCGCTGGTAGAAACAAACGCTTCCCCACCAGAAGTCTGCTCAGGAGGCTAGTATTTCAGATGCTCTTAAGGACGTCTAGTATTAGTTATTCAGGGATCATTTATAACTTGTGCCAGTTGTGGCAAATGAATAGGGATCTTAGGATGTAAGATTATTACGGGCAGGGTTGATTGACAGTTGCGCGGTTACATCTCGTACAACATGTACAACGTATATTAGGCCACACCAAGTAAATTTTATGGATGACGTCCTTTGGAGACCCTAAATCTAATGCGAGAGGGCGAAAAAAAAACAAGAAGGGCCCTAAAAAACAAGATGCCTAGATTAGAAATATACTAAGAGATGACAAATGTTAGGACACATATTGAATGAGGTGACACAGTGTAACAAGCAAGAAGTCTTTTATTCATCATCAAAACAGCAATAAATCAGGTGGAACAGCAATTGTCATCCTGTCCTGTGTCCCGTTACGGGTTTCACGTCAATCTGACGATTTGCGGCACTGTCGTGACTCTTTGGTCATAGTTACAGGAAGCGGAATTTCTTGTTTTTTACATTTCAGCGCATGCGCGCTGAAATGTAATAAGACGGAATCTATCCTTCTTTGTATCTTTCTTTCTTTGGTAGTTTGGTAACTCTGCAAGCCATGCAATACCTGTTTACTTCTTTCCGTTTTGTGGGATATGCAATAGACTTGCTGCCATTTTAATCCATGTTCTTTACAAAAAGAAACTTAATGTAGTAACTTTATGTAGTCTCATCTAGTGACATACCATTGATCGAAGTACGGTTAAATAAGTTTTTAGGCGCTAATTTATTGATCGTACTACAAAATCTAACGATGATTGCATAAATTATGTTAATGACAACAATAATGCCGCCTGTCGCTAGATGTCGTTGTTGCATGTCCTGGCGAAGTTTCTCTATTATGTTTGCACTTTTATGTTTGCCTGTTGCATTGTTCTTACTCAGGAATGTCAATACGTTTGATACTTACTCTTTTTAAAGACGGGCTTTCATGTTCAATCATAATTCGCTCGGACCTGCCCAATTTTCTCGGATGGCTATATATAGTATGTTATTTAGGCTGCTGGACAATGACATAACGAGATAGCTCAACGAGTAGAGTTGCTAAACGAGTGGCGGTGCACGTGGCGGGGTCTGGACATTGAGAGTTCGATCCCCGGTGAGGAACTTTTTTTTTATAATTTTTTTATAATTTTCTTTTTTTAATTTTCTTTTTTTTTTTAATTTTTCTTTTTTTTTATTAATTTTTTTTTAATTTTTCTTTTTTTAATTTTTTTTAATTTTCTTTTTTTTTTTAATTTTTCTTTTTCGTTATTAACTTTCGTTATTAATGTATGCTATACGAAGTTATTTACGATTTTTTGCTCCGCTCTAACTTGATTCTTCCCTTCGTATGTCCCTTAGAATTTAAAC